CCGTGACGAGTCGGGTCGAGTCGGTCGGCCAGCGTCGGGCAGAGGCCAGAGGGGGGGGATGGTGATCGGGATCGGGATGGTGGAAATCAAGCCTAGGTCCAGGGCTTGGTATTACAGACATGGCAATGTGGACTTGGTGTGCTACTCGTCATTACGTACTTGGGATCGGGTGGGATGGGGCGAGCGTTTTGCATAGGGCGTGTGTTCGCTGTGCGGAAGTGGTCAAGGCCTCTTCTTCCTCGCTTGCATACTTGCTTACGTACTACTACCGCCGAAGCCTGGTGGCATGCCCCGTCCATCCATGACTTTGTCAAGCCTGCGGTAGTTAGCAGACTCGGCCACGGCGGCTAGGGCCGCATCGCGGTCGCTGACGGCCATGGCGAGGAGCGCTGCGAGATCGTCAAAGCCTGCCTGCTCCGCAGCCTGCAGCGGTGTGACGCCGCTGTTGTCCGCAACCTGGGATGAGGCTCCGTGGCGCAGTAGGTGCTCGACGACTTTGCTCTCGCCGCCTTCCGCCGCCACATGCAATGGTGTCTTGCCATCGGCATCGACAACATCCAGATCGACGCCGCTGGCGCTGGCGAGAGCATCCACAACTCGGTAGCGCCCGTTCTCGGCTGCGACGTGCAGCGGGAAACGTCCATCCGCGTCGGCAACGTTGACGTCAGCCCCGCCTTCGACGAGTCCATAGATCATTCTCCAGCGGTTGCGCTTGGTGGCTGCCATGAGCGCCGTCTCACCATCGTTGTTCCGCACGTCCAGACTCGCTCGGCCCGTGCGCACCAGCCACTCGACAGCATCGCTCGAGCCATTGTCGACAGCGGCATGGAGCGGCGTCTCGCCTCGCTCGTTGGCCGCATTGACATTGCTGCTACCGCTTGTCGCAAGGCACTCGAGAATATCGAGGTAGTTCCATCGCGCAGCTTTGTGGAGCGCGGTCTCGCCACATGCGTCGGCGGCGTCCACTCTCACCTGCTTCTCACTCACCAGCCACTTGACGACATCGCCGGCGTTACTGTCGGCCGCAACCACAATCGCACCGCCGCTGCCGGATCCCGGGCTCTCGAGCGGGCAGCCGACAAGGGCTAGCCGCTGGACAATCTCTAGCTTGTTGGTCTTGGCTGCAACCGTGAGCGCAGAGCTGCCGTCAAACGCCCATGCAGCATCGACGTTGGCTTGGTCAAGGAGCCACTCGACGATCTCAGTGCTTTCCTCGCGCATCGCGCTCATGAGAGCCGTGTAGTGGTTGTTGCGCGCCAAGTTGACGTCTGCGCCGTTCTCCACCAGCCACTGGACGATGTCGATGTGGCCGGCGCCTGCCGCCGTCGCTAGCGGCGTCTGGTCGCAACCGTCCACGCCGTCGATCCTGGCACCGGCAGACTTGACCAGCCACGTGACAACGTCCATGCTGCCGGCCGACGCCGCAAAGTCGAGCGCAGTTTCACCTTCAACCACTGCGTCCGGATCAACGCCTTGCTCCTCCACCAGCCACTGCACGACGTGAATGGCTCCGGCACTCGCCGCCTCACACATCATCCGCCCGCCAACCGTGTACCCGTTGCCGCCCATTGCGCTTTCCACGGTATGCTCCGAGTGATCCAGCAGCCAAGCAACAAAGGCGACGCGTTTGATCGTGCAGCAGCGACCAAGGTACCCCGACGGACTCGCCTGCCGCTGGTCACCAACTGCCGCACATCGTCTTGCGCGCCCGACTCCACCGCAGCAGCAAGCGCCTCAAAGAGCTCGCCATTCGAGTGCGAGGCAGTCGAGCTGTCGTCTGATGCCGCAGACACCGAGTCGTACGACGAGCTTGCAGACATGTCGGGAAGAGGTGTGTGGGCAACGTGCTGTGGTGTGGTTGCCTCGGTTGCGCGGGTGACGTCAGGAGGCAACCCACGTGCAACATGTGCGGGAGCAGGCGGTCCAGAGCCATCCATCCATCCATCGCTCTCTGATCGCACCGACCACGACGAGCGAGTACACCATGTGCTTGGACGTTGTGTCTGTGATGGTGCTTGGCGATGTGTCTTCTTCCACGCGCCCGTCGAGCCATGACTACGGGTGATGTTCGGGTGGTGATGACCACAACGAATCGTGCCAAAGCCACCATGTCATAGGCGCACCACAACCTCGCAAGGGAGCCATACGATCTGCAGAGAACAGAGGAGGCTGTCTATTGAACACGTACAGATTGATGAAGCCCATGCAGGGCGCGGGAATGACAATCAATCAGCAAGGTTGAGGCAGATGGTTCATGGCAGATGGTCCATGAGATGAGGTGCACCGCAGTAGTTTTCAAAAAAAGAAAATCGGAATTCAAAAATTTGTGCAAACGAATGCGGGAGAACCTGACGACATTGGCTCGTCACGATGACGTTGGAGCATAGTCAGCGGGAAGGCGGCACACATTTCTCTCTCACTTCCACCAAGAGACACAGCAAAGGCAAGGACAAGAACAAGACCAAGACCAAGACCAAGACCACCAAGATGTTCCGCAGAAATATGCCTACCCTTCTCCGGGCCATGAACGGAGCCGTTCGTGCCCGCTCCACGCCTGCTACGCTCGGGCCCAAGTCTGGCGGCCGTCTCGGCTCGTCGGCTTCGTCGTCGAGTGCAAGTTCGTCGTCATCAACTCGTCAACCGCGATTTGTGTCTCAGACCCGCTCAGCTGGCGGACGCCGATCATCGATGATTAACGGACGGCATGGATCAAGTCACGCTGCTGCACAGCAGGTGGCGACGGGTCCGTTCTCGGTCCCTGTCTCGGCGTCGGTTCTCCCTGCGCGCCTCTCCAAGTGGCAGCCGCCGTCGGCTTCGCGCGCATTCTCGTCGACCACGGCCTCGCGTCCGCCGGTGGGCGCGACTGCTCCCGCTCCGGCGCCGGCGCGGCTCTGTCGTCCGCTCTCGACGGCGGTTGCGAAGCGGATACCTGCGGTGACGGGCCCGCGGCAGGTGCCGGCGCGGTCTGCGGCGCGGCAGGCGCCGTCGGCCTCAGCCGAGCTGCATCGCATGCACTACGGGGCTGCCGAGGACGCTGCCGAGCCGTCGCTCGGTGTTCTCTTTGCCAGCATTGCCGCCGGCGTCGCCGCTGGCTCGCTGCTCATTGTAGGCACCAAGTGCGCCGAGGAGGCAAACGGCGAGGTCGACGAGGAGACTGTGGCAGCGTCGCACCTCCCGCTGCCTCAGATCATGGCACTGCTCGACACGTACTACGAGTCCAAGTCGGAGGCTGACAAGGAGAAGGCGCTCAAGCTCGCAACACTCGCAGTCGGGCCCGAGCCGCAGATTGCGTCGGTCGAGCTGCTTGTGCTTGCGGCGCGTGCGGCCAAGAACTACTCGGACTTTAAGGTCGGCAATGAGAAGGTCCCGCTCCTCTCGCAGGCGCTGACATTTGCCGAGATTGTGCGCGACCGCGAGCCGCAGCGGTGGGAGGGCCACTACTGGTACGGCATCAGCCTCTCGCTGCTCGGCGACTTTAAGCCGACCAAGGAAGCCATCCAGAACGCATACGTCATCAAGGAGGCGTTCGACAAGGCGCTGCAGTACAACCCGCGTCCGAACGGAACCAACTACCACATCCTCGGCATGTGGGCATTCACCTTTGCCGACATGGCGTGGTACACCCGCAAGATCGCGTCGCTCGTCTTTGCCGCCCCGCCCACCGCCACCTACGACGAGGCGCTCGCCTACTTTCTTGACGCCGAAAAGGTCGAGCCGGGCTTTTACGTCAAGAACAATCTCATGATCGGCAAGTGCTACATTGCCCTCGGCAAGTATGACGAGGCCAAGGCGTGGCTCTCCCAGGGCCTCACCGTCGACATCAAGACGCCCAAGGACGCCGATCTCCTTGTCGAGCTCAAGGCCCTGCTGGCCACTCTCTAGCTATTAGCCACTCTTTTGCCCGTGTGGCGAAGGCAACAAACAACCATATCTCCTTCACCAATAGCCAGCCACAGCCCGTGATGCGATCGCCACGCCTGCTGCTCACCGCCGACCGCTCACCGTCGCCACCTCACCCGCCCCGTCCCACCCACCACCCAGCATGCCCCGCCGACGAAAGACAGCCACACCATTGTGGGCAGCGGCTGGGCGAGCCAAGTCGGGCCTGCTGCGGAGGTTGCTCGCGCGCATGGGCGAGGCTGCGGGCGAGTCGCGAGGCGAGGCGGGCGCGAGTCGGGACGAAGCGGTCAATCGATGCGACGGACCGGGGCGATCGTCGGCGCTGGTCATGGCTGCGCAGAGGAATCGGGCCGTTGCTGTGCGCATGCTGCTTGATGCTGGTGCTGATCCGCATGTTAGGAATGGTGCTGGCCTTACTCCGCTTCATGTCGCTGCTTGGTACGGCGCTCACGCTGCGGCAGAGGCTCTGTTGTCTGGACGGTCGCCGTCGTCCATGTCGGCCAAGGCGGCGTCATTGCTCCGCGCATCGAAAGCGTCGTCGTCGGCAGCGGCGGCAGCTGGCAAGGATGGGCTGGATCCGGCAGAGACTGCGGCGCTGCGTGGTGCAGCCTATGTCGATGTGCGCGCTGGCGGGAGCGTCCGCGTAACGCCGCTCATGATGGCGGCACATCAAGGCCACGACGCGCTGGTCCACCTCCTCCTCGCCGCCGGCGCCAGCGTCGACGCGGTTGCGGACGACCGTGCCCGGACCTCGCTGCACATGGCGGCTGTTCGCGGCCGGCACGGCGTCGCGGTGCGGCTCCTCGCCGCCGGCGCAAACCCAACCGCGGTGACGGCCGACGGCGAGACGCCCGCCGACATCGCGTTCACGCCTCAGCTTGCTGCTCTGCTCGACGCAGCAGCCTCCCAGTCCGCAGTGGGCGAGGAAGCGAGTGCGCCAGTGTAGCTCTGCCAAAGCGTGACTCCTGGTTTACGGCTACTGCATCGCGGGCTACGGGTCGTTGTGGACAACGCCCCCGTCGGGCGTCACCTCGACTGAGCCGAGGATCGGGGTGACGACGTCGGCGCCGAGGTCGGCGATGAGGTCGGCGACGGCGTAGGCTGCAGTGTGGGCGGCGAGGCGGGTACCGAGCTCGACAACAGTCTTGAGCGGCGCGGCAAAGGCCGGGAGGTAGTCAACGGCGGCGGCCGGGCCGACGCTCTTCAGCACCGCCGGCAGCTGCTTCCACACCGTTTCGGCAAGCGAGGTCCAGTGGGTAAATGTGGTAATCGAGGCGGCGTGGGCGAGTCCCGGTAGGTAGCGGGCAGCGACGGCAGGCTCGCGGCTCGCCACCTCGCGGACCAGATACACGCAGCCGTCGGTCGACTCCCACGGCTCGGCCGGACGGCGGAAGCCATGGTCCATGCACCCGGCGCCGCGCTTGAGCTTGGGCGCCAGCGAGCCGCATGAGAACATGGCCTGGTCGGTGTGAAGCTGCGGGTCGTTGGCCCGCGCCGAGCGGGCGGCGGCCACGCCAAACGTCGTCGTGTTGTCGAGGCCTGAGTGGAGCTGCGACTCGCTCGGCTGCTTGTCCACCGCGGCCATGTTGGCGTCGAGGTGAGCGACAAGCCGCGCAAGCGCAGGCTCGCCGTACGCGCCCAGCACCTCTCCGAGCGCCACCGCTGCGTTCTCGCGCACGCTCCAAATGTTGTCCGACAGATGCTCGAGCCAGAGGTGCCAGAGCTCCTCCAGCTCGTCGCCGACCGCGTCCGGAAAGGCAGCCACAAACTGGCCCGACGCCGTGCACGCCGTGTCTCGGACGGGCCAGCTCTGGTCGTGGAAGCAGACAATGAGCGCGGCGAGGAGCGGCCGGACGTGCGACACCAGGGCGTCGCGGTCGATCTTGGTCCCCAGCTCGGCGATGCAGTAGCACGCAGCCTCGCGGACCGCGTGGTTGTCGGCCTCGGACTGGGCAATGTAGAACGCGACCACAGGCTCGATGTACCGCGCCACAAGCGCCGGTCCTTCGCCGTCCGTCACCATCCGCCACGTCTCGAGCGAGTAAATCTTGACGCCCTGCGCCACGTAGTACCGGTTGAGGCACATCCGCGGGAGCAGGATCGGGTACGCCGCCGCGAGGCTCTCTGGCGCCCACTGCTTGAGGAGGAGTGCAAAGGTCCGCGTCGCCACCGACGCCGCGAACCGAACCTGTGACCAGTTGTCGGCGAGGCCCACCCCGAGCTGCTCGGCAAGCGCCGGCGCGAGTGCCACAGCCTGGTCCAGACTCGCCTCCTGCCCGGCGGCCTCAAACGCCTGCAGGCACGCGTCGATGGTCTGGTACCCGATCTCGCGCACAAACCGGTTCGTGTGTCGCAGCGCCTTGAACAGCAGCGCAAGGAGCTCGCTGTTGACAACCTCCCGCGCGTCACCGCCGAGCCCGGCCAGCATGTGCCGCAGCGCCTTCATCGACGTCTCCAGCGACTTCCATCCCTCGGTATCGTGCTTGCCCTTGGGCTTGGCCGGCATGCTCTCGGTCATCCCGCCCGCCGCTGCCGCTGCACCCGCAGCCGCAGCCGCATCAGCATCCACCACAGCCTCGGCCTTCTGGGCCTCCTCCTTGGCCTCGGCCGCCTCATCGCGCTCAAAGTTGGTCACAATCGAGTTGGTCAGATATGGCAGCATGTTGTTGAAGAACTCGAGGCCGAGAATGCTCGCCAGCAACTCCATCAGCTCGGCGACAGCAAAGCGGACTCGCGGCTCAAGGTGCTCCAGGGCCGACGGAACACGGTCGGCGACCGAGAGGGCCAACGCTGCGTGGCCAGGCAGCTTTGCCTCGAGAGCGATGCGAACCAGAAGAAAAGCACCTTCGATGGCTTCCCATGACGCATCATCAGCAGATGCAGCAGAATCATGACCAAAGGCGGCATCGCCAATGACCGCAGCGTCTGTCTCGCTCTCCTCGCCGGCCTTTTCCCTCGCCCGGAGCAGTGCCCGCTCGCGGTCGAGTCGCCGACTGGCCATAGCTCCTGCCGCAAGCTCTGCCCAGCTCGACTCCTTGCTCAACGACTTGCTAGACATGGTCTCTTGCTCTTTGCTCTGCGAGGTAGAGTGAGATGCGTGCTGGTGTTGACGTCCCGTGCGACCGGGAACAACCTCGCCTGCGCTCTGCCGCTCTGTCGCTCGCGTTCCATCGGTCGGTTGCGATCCGCAGCTTGATCAGCCAGGTGGCGGAGGGCGCTGGTGATGGCGACAGCAGGGAAGGGGATGTGCTCCTGGGTTAGATCAAAGCGAGCGTGGGAAGGGAAGGGGTGTTGGAGGAGGGGTAGAGGGGTAGCGGTGGGGACGGTTGGTCTAGAGAGGCAGGGATGGGCGAGGAAAGGGTGGCTGGTACGATTCGCAAAAAGATGAGAGATCGCAGAAAAATACGGCCGCGTGTCAAGTATGTGTTTTTGTTGGCTTTGTCAAACTGACGGCGATGGTGGATGCAATGAAGGAGAGCGAACAGCAGATGGTGCCGTACAGCGGGCGTGGAGCGAGATTCTGGCCTTGGTATGCTCATAAGAGTTGTTTCGAGATCGAGATCGGTGATCAGTCTTGCACCTCTTCGTCGAGGCTGCTTGAAACAGCCAGTCATCGCGTGCCTCTGCCCGAGACCTGTCCTGGGCACAACAGCGAGATATTGCCGCCATCCCCCCCCCCCCCCCCCCCCCCCCTCCCCTTCCCCCCAGTCAGTCGCACCGGACAAAGTACGACAGCAGAGCGGCAGCAGGACGTCTTTCGGTTCGAGCGATGGCACGTGCAAGTCGCCGAGCGAGCATTGCCCCTGGGGGAGTAGAAGGGAGACACACTCGACTCTGCAATGGCAGCGGAGATGGAACAGCGAGCGATGCGTGTGGTTTGGCTAGTTGGGCTGGTGCTTGCTGTGTGTGTGGCGAGCGCGGCGGCAGTTGGCGATGGCCCGACTCGGCTGGGTCGGCGGGAGGTTCGGAGCGTTGGCACTTTGACGACATTTCGGGCGGCACATGCGATGCGGGCAGAGGGCATTGCTGCGGCGGCGAGCAAGATGATGTACGAGTTGAAGGATGATGGTTATGGTAGTGACGGAGCCAACGTAGCTGTCCCGCTCGGAGGCTCTGTCCTCGCCACGGGCACGTACTTTGCAACGACGGTGATCGGCGACAAGCCGTATCGGGTCATCTTTGACACCGGCTCGTCCGACACGCTGGTCCATGGCTACACGTCGAGCAGCGGGAGGCCTGTCCCGTGCTCGGTTGATCCGTCATGTATTTGTGATCCGAATAGCAACAAGTGCCTCTTTGACGACGGGTATGGAGATGGCACCGAGTGGGCCGGGTATGTCATGGAGGACGATGTCGAGCTCGCGCCGGGGCTTGCCAGCAAGGCGCAGATCGGATCGATTGTCATCTCAGTTGACCCGCACTCGCTGCCGGACGGCATTGCCGGCATCCAGGGCATGGCGTACTCTGGTCTCTCTTCGTTCGGTGCACCGAGCCCGTTCAGCACCATGGCTCAGGCCGGGCTTGTCGACCACGTCTTCTCGCACTGTCTCCCCTACGGCACCGACGCCGAGGCCCCGTCGGTCACCTATGGCCCGGGCAACTACTCGATCGATGACTTTGAGTTTACGCCCATCATCAACGAAAAATGGTACGTCGGCAACGTGACCGGGCTCGGCGTCGGCGGTGTCGAGGTTGACGTCGACCCGGCGGTCTTTACCCGCAACATCTCGATCTACGACTCGGGCACCACTCTCTGGCTTCTCCAGGACGATGCTTTTTGGGCTGTGTGGGGCTCGTTCCTCTCGCTCTGTGACACGCTTGATCTCGAGGGCGTGTGCGGCGATGCCTCTGGCCCGCTTTTTGTGTATGGAGATGTCATCGTCCTCACTCCCGAGCAGTTTGCCCAGTTTCCGGACATCACCATCAAGGTGGCGCGATCGGCGTCGCCGTCGCCGCCGCCGGTCGCGCCCGCGCCGCCACCACCACCGCCTAGCACTGCCTCGCCGCCGCCGCCGCCGACGGGCGTGCCCGCGCCGCCGCCACCATCTGTCAACGTTACGCAGGATGCCGGCGCCGTGTCGTCCGAGGGAGACGGCGACGATGTGGTCATCGTTGTTCCGCCCTCGGCGTACCTCCTCCCTGTGTCCACGACCTCGGACGGGATCGGCTACTTTTACGGCATCCAGAGCGCGCCGATCACGATCATGGGCGATGTGGTGCTCTCCAACTACCACGTGAGGTACGAGATGGATACCGGCAGGGTCGGCTTTGGCCCGCTCTCGACCTGCCCGACCGTCGGCCCTGTGCCGCCACTCCCGCCGACGCCGTCGTCGCCGCCGTCCAAGACCTCGACATACGTGGTTGTCGGCGTGGTTGTCGGCATCGTGGCAATTGTCGGCGCGGTTGTCGGCGTTTACCTTGTCGTCCGTAGCCGCTCGTTGAGGCACGGCATCTACGATGAGATCAATTGAAGCGGGCTAGTCGACGAGTTGAAGCTGGGCGGCAACCGCGTCGACAATGGCGGCGACGTGGCGGCGACGGGCGCACATGATGGCCCACCCGTGGCCGCCGGGCATTGCGGCCCGGGTGAGGCTCACGGTAGCTGAGCTCGCGCCCAGCGCATCGTAGAGCGAAGCTGAGGCCTCGCGGGGAATGTACTTGTCGTCGGCAGCGTAGAGGATGCGGGCGATGCGCTTGCAGCTGGTACTTGTGGACGGCGCCGGGATGGCGTCTGTGGAAATGGCCCACAGGGCGCGTCCGACCGGGCCGTACCGTCCGCCGATGGCCGGCCAGTCGACGGTTTGAGCCAGGAGGCCCTGAGAGAATGGCGGCGCCGGTGAGTGGGTGCCAACGGTCGAGATCACGGCGTGGCTCTGCGGATCAAGAAGGGCAGCCATGGAGGCCATCGCACCGCCGAACGAGACTCCGGCGTAGGTGATGGTCCGGGAGCCGGCAGCGCGGGCCCACTCGGCGAGGGCACGGGCCTCGGTAAAAACAGCCGCGCCCTGCGATGCCACATGCGCCACGGTCGGGAGCCCGTAGCGCCCGCCCATGCTCGCTGGCCGGCGCGGCCCGTAGAACGCGATCTGCAGTATGATGCTTACCGCGCCGGTGCTCGTCGCCAGCGGCAGTGCGTACGACCTGCGGCGGAAGGAGAACCCGATGTCGCCGGTCATTGGGCAGTGGATGACCACATCGGCACCGGCAACCAGATCCTCGAGCCGCTGCGGCGGAGGGCCGGTCACAGGCGCAACGATCTCGGCCCGCGCCGTCTTGGCCTCCTCCTCCAGAAGGTCGGCAACCGGCGAGCGGAAGGAGACGACCGCAGTCGCGATGCCGCCGTCGTGAGCGGCCGCCACCTCGCGCTCGATGGTGAGCTCTGCTGGCGCCACGTTTGGGCCCTTCTCCAGGCCGAGTGCAAAGGCCTTGGCGTACACCACGTCATCGCCCATGCCATCGGCCAGAAAGACGTCTGGCGAGAGTCGTACCGCCACCAGATCCAGCAAGCCGGCGAGCTTGGAGAGAATGATGAGCGATGACGACCAGAGCGAGGCCCGCGGCGGAGCAGCATCGACGCCCTTGACCGCCCCAGCCAAGCCAGAGCACCAACGAGAACGAGTCCGGCGAATACGACGGCCCCAGCGGTACATGAACCATCATCATATTGAGGTCGACGATGTGCCGACTACAAGATGGGTGTGGGCATGAAAGGTGGTCGTCAGAAGTGGTCTCCACTCTCCCGATTCCCCCGCCCCCCCCCCCCCCCTCCCCCGACTGACACATTGGCTGGTGTTACACCGATCCGATCCGCCGAGCACGACGTCCATCCCCCGCAAGTCGCGCTCATTGGCCGGCCACCGATTCGGCTGGCACATGCCGTTCGGAGCGATGGTTGGCGTCAGCCAGAGCTCACATTTAGCCGCAGAGTCGGACCGAGCAGTTGCATCGGCTGCAGCGGGCGAGCCACTATAGCAGGGACAGCCTCACACACAGAGAGCGTAGCATGAAGATTGAGCTTGTGTGCGTGTGAGTTTGGAGGCCATGCACGTGTACGACATCGAGCGGCCGAGGCGAAAGCAGACCGAGCCTTTGATTAATATGAATGTGATTGAGTGGCTTAATCAATGCGGCTGGGATAGCGGTTGACGAACCATCAACGAGCGTTGTACAAATAGGATGATCGACCAGTTTGGTTGGTAATTCTCTCTCACGGCAGCCAGTCAAGACGTTTGTCAGCAAGAGTCTTCTGGGACCACTGCAGAGAGCAAGCCGACTCTGTATCCAACTCCAGCCACTTGCACTTGTCTCTGTGCAAAGGGCCATGTCTGCATCTGCTTCTGAGGGTATGTGGCTGTGGCTGTGGCTGTGGTGTGTGGAGAGGGGGGGGAGGGGGGGGGGAGGTGGACGGCGCGGCGCAGTGCGACCTTTTTCCGCAGACGGGCTTGGGCTTGATCGTGATCTTGATCCTGGACTCGCTTGATGGCGAGGTTGGCGGGGGGGGGGGAGGGGGGGGGGGGGGGCCCGGGGCAAACTCACATGTGCATTGAATGTATGGACGCATGGGTGGTGTAGGTGGGTCGTATGACTATGACCTCGTTGTTGTGGGCGGAGGGTCCGGAGGGCTCTCGTGCGCGCGGCAGGCGGCCAAGCTCGGAGCCAAGGTGGCGATTCTGGACTTTGTCAAGCCGTCGCCGCAGGGCACGGCGTGGGGCCTGGGCGGGACGTGCGTGAACGTGGGGTGCATTCCGAAGAAGCTCATGCACACTGCGGCGCTGCTGAAGGGAGCAGCCGACGATGCCAAGGCGTACGGGTGGTCTGTGCCTGACGGGCTTGAGCACTCGTGGGACACGCTTGTGGACGCGGTCGGCTCGCACATCGGCTCGCTCAACTGGGGCTACCGGACGGCGCTCCGCGACGAGGGCATCGATTACAAGAACGAGCTCGGGTCGATTGTGGACGCGCACACGGTCAAGGGCGTGTCGCGGAAGAAGGTGGAGACGCTGTACTCTGCCAAGTACATTGTGATTGCGGTGGGCGGGCGGCCGTACGTGCCTGAGGACGTGCCCGGCGCGCTGGAGCACGCCATCACGTCTGACGACATCTTCTGGCGGTTCGACCCGCCGGGCAAGACGCTCTGCGTGGGCGCGTCGTACGTGGCGCTCGAGATCGCGGGCTTCCTCACCGGGCTCGGGTACGACACGACGGTGGCGGTGCGGTCGATCCTGCTCCGCGGCTTTGACCAGGGCATGGCCGAGAAGGTCGGCAAGTACATGGAGCACGAGGGGACGACGTTCAAGCGGCCGGTGGTTGTTGACTCGATTGCCAAGGACGAGGCGAGCGGCAAGCTCAAGGTTGTGCTCAAGTCGCGGACGGACGGGACGACCGAGGAGGAGGAGTACGACACGGTCCTGTTTGCGACCGGCCGCAAGGCTGACACGGCGAACCTCGGGCTGGAGAACGTCGGCATTGTGCCCGACGCCAAGACCGGGAAGATTGCGGTGGACGAGGCCGAGGCGACGTGCGTCGACTCGATCTTTGCGCTCGGCGACGTCATCGACCAGCTCGAGCTGACGCCGGTGGCTATTGCCGCCGGCCGGCTGCTCGCCTCGCGGCTGTTTGACGGCAAGACGACGCTGATGAACTACACCAACATCCCGACTGCGGTCTTTACTCCGCTCGAGTACGGCGCCGTCGGCCTCTCGGAGGAGGACGCGGCCGCCGAGTACGGCATCGACAACATCGAGGTCTTCCACACCTATCCGCAGGTTCTCGAGCACACCGTTCCGCACCGCGAGGAGAACCAGGTCTACGCCAAGCTCATTGTGCGCAAGGCCGACGACGTGGTGATCGGCGTCCATTACGCCGGCCCCAACGCTGGCGAGGTCATCCAGGGTCTCGGCATCGCCGTCATGGCCGGCGCCACTAAGGCTATGTTTGATGCCACCGTCGGCATCCACCCGACCATCGCCGAAGAGTTTACCTCGATGGAGATCACGCGAGCGTCTGGCAAGTCGGCGCTCCGCACAGGCTGCTGAGGTTAAGGGGGTTGCGTTCTGCAACCCCCGGCCGTCACAGGCCCTCCCACCGGCAACACGCACGGCCGAGCTAGCTTATTAGCTCGTCCGTGTGCCAGAGACTCGCACCCCGGCCTCCTCCCCTTGACGCGCTCATGACGAGCCGTGCCCTCAACCGAGCTTTTTCCCTCGGCGAGCACGCGCTCCGAGCTCACTACAGCCCCACACACCCACGCTTACTCCGGTCGACTGACCGCAGCGCGGGGGGCTGTCTGCGCCCAAGGCGAGGACCGGGCCTCGACCTCGCATGTTGAGCCGCCTGGAGGGTCGTCCTTTCGGCCGACCCCAACCTCATCACTCACAGATTCCCCTCTTTTTGAATGAAGGCATACCAGCTGTGCAGCAGCGAGCCCTGCTCAGACAACGTACATGCGCATGTGGCGCGGGAGGGCGCGGAGCGGGCCGTCGTACGGCAGCTTGTCAAAGGGCGCGACCCAGAGGCGGCCGTTGCGCGAGGCCGGACATGTCGAGTGCGACGAGAGGATCGAGGCGAGGACGGCGGCGTGGAGGTTGCGGTTGCGGAGCCAGGCGACGTTGAACAGCGGCGCAGAGAGCTTGTCGACCCACTTGCGGACCCGGACGGCGTCGGCCCGCGAGATGGATCCGGTCAGCCGCAGTGATTTGACCGCATGGTCGATACGGTAGAGGGCGGCCCAGAAGGCTTCGTCCAGCATCTGCTTTGCCTCTTTGGACGTCACCTTACCGCCCTTACCTCGCCGACCCTTTGCCGGCGGCGACGGGCGACTTGCCGGCGACGGCGACAGCCTGCGGGCAACCGGCTCGGGCCGCGGCGACGGCCGAGGCTGCTTGCGGTCGGCCGGGAGGAAGATCGGCGAGTGCGGCGAGCGCGGTGTGTGACGTTGGTCCACAGACCGCACCGGCGAGTGCGAGTGCGACGGCGACGGCGACGGTACGCGGACCACGGATCCGGCGCCGACGCCTGAGTACGGCTTGGCCCGCCCGGCGAGCACGGTCTCGACAAACAGCCGCGAGTCCGGCGAGAGGGTCGCTTGCGGCGGCGAGGACGCAGAGAGTGACGAGTCTCGGGCGAGTCGTGGCGAGGGCATGTGGCTAAAGTCCGGCAGCGGCCGTGCCGGCGGGCGATGAGCAGGAGACGGCTCGCACGCGCTCGAGCTCACCGGTCTGGCAAGGACCTGGCGAGGAGGAAGAGGTGGAGCAGGAGGCTCGACAGACCATGCCGGTGGAGGAGGGCGGGAATGAGTCGATGCGATGGGGGCCGGTGGATGCAGAGAAGGCTGAGCAGTGGCGAGTCGGCGAGCAAACGACAGTTGGCGGGCAGACGGCGGAGGCGGAGTCGGAGGAGGGTTCAGGCATGGCGAATGTGAGAGAACAGAGTCTGCAAAGCTCCGCACGTCATGTGGTGTATGCTCTCCGTCAGAGTCGGAGAAAGAGTTGTCGTCAAGCATGGCCAGAATGTCCACCGTTGTCAGAGACATCTTTCCCGCCTAAATCCGCCCGAGTGAGAGAGGCGTGGCGGTGGCGGCGGCGGTGGTGGTGGTGGTGGCGGTGGCTGGCGAGTGGCGCCGGAGGTTGGGCCGGTGGGCGGGCGGTGGCAGGGAGAGTGGCGGCAGTGATGGGGCAGTGATGTGTGATGGGAGGCGGCAGTGATGGGGCAGTGATGGGGCAGTGATGGAGCAGTGATGTGTGATGGGAGGCGGCAGTGATGGGGCAGTGATGTGTGATGGGAGGCGGCAGTGATGGGGAAGTGATGGGGCAGTGATGGAGCAGTGATGGGGCAGTGATGGAGCAGTGATGTGTGATGGGAGGCGGCAGTGATGGGGAAGTGATGGAGCAGTGATGGGGCAGTGATGCGGCAGTGATGCGGCAGTGATGGGGCAGTGATGTGTGATGGGAGGCGGCAGTGATGGGGAAGTGATGGAGCAGTGATGGAGCAGTGATGGGGCAGTGATGCGGCAGTGATGGGTGATGGGTGATGGGTGATGAGTGGCGGCAGTGCCCAACTCAAAAATGCCCGCCCAATGCCAGTCGGGCAGACGACGACGGCCAAGGTCCGCTAGACCGACATCGACATCGACACTCGACGCACGCTTACTGCAGCAGGCGCATGCTGACGAGGCCACAGCGACACCGACGGGCAGTGCTGTGGTGGCTTCCGGACAGAGTGTGGTGGCGACATGCTCCGCGAGGCACCAGTGTGGTTCTGACGGCTGCGCTTCTCCTCGGCCTCCTCCTCGGCCTGGTCCTCTCGCGGTGGAGCTGCTGCACCTCCCACTGCGACTGCGCCTGGCCACCACAGGTTGTGCTCGCGCCGACATCGCGGCATGCTGGCGATGATGGACAAGGTAGACATGCCGATCTCGGAGTGCTGGACGTGGTACAGGGCCCGAGTCGGCGCTCACTGCAGCGCAGCCACGTGGCGGTGGGCGTCTTCTCCGGCATCGACTTTGTGGCCGGCCGGATCCAGGCGTGCGCCAACACGTGGGCGGCACGGACAGCGCTGGATCATGTGGTGTTTGTTATCGAGTCGGTCGACGACGAACTGGCGGCCAAATGGCCGGCGGTCGATCTGGTCCCGCTACCACCGCGCGTAGCGGCGACGGCCTGCACCGACGCCTCCAAGTACTCGCGATGTACGCTGCACAAGAACTGGCACGCACTCACCGTCCTCCACGCCCGAGCCCAGGCAGAGGAGCTGGACATCCGCTGGTATCTGACGGTTGGCTGCGACACGTACGTGGCGACGGCCAATGCACTTGCTGTACTTGACGGCTACGACCACACTAGGCCGCACCTGGTCGGCCAGTGCTGGCACCTAAGCCCGGACGCCGGCTCTGTACCGGGCCTAGCTCGCGGCGGGCTTTACGCCAACGGCGGCGGCGGCATCGCAATCTCGGCCGCGCTCATGGACATCCTCGCGCCGCGGATCGACGCCTGGATCGCTGCCGACGGCGCCACGCCGTATTCGGATCTCTCCATCGCAGGTCTCGCTGCTGAGGCTGCAGGTGCAGTTTGCGAGCACAGCGATGCCTTCCACGGCTACGCACCGCGCTGGTATGCGGCGCGGCCGCGCGGACGCGATGATCCCTGGGGCGAGCTCCACTCTGCCGCCGCCACCTTTCACTACATGTCGCCGCACGACCAGTACGCACTTTCGCAGCAGCTCGGGCTGGAGGCCACCGACGCGGTCGCCGCGGCCGAGTCTGGCGCCTGCCCACGCCTCCATGCCCTCGCTCGCGCGCTCGTTCGCGACCACCACGCTGTGCTAGAAGCCCAGGCCGAGTCGCTCCTGATGTGCGCGGTCGGTGGCGATGCCGAACGAGCCGCTCGAGCCAGCCGCGTCACCTACTGAAGAGAATCTGCCGGCGCGCCGACTACAGCTCGCCGCTCCCACTGGTCTCGGCAAACAGTGCCGCCCACGGGTACGGCTCCATCAGGGCGAGAACGCGACCGTTTGCCAGATCCAACTCACCGGCAAGCCACATGAGAGCAGTACAAGCCTCACGGAGAGCGGCGCATTGATCGTTGGCGCACCGAGCCGAGTCGACCGAGACGAGGCAGCCCGGAACGCCAAAGGCGGTCTCGCACCCGACATCAAAGGTGATGACCGGAGTGTGCATGGCGGCAGACCACGCCGAGCCGTTTGTGGCGGCGCGAGTGACCGAGTACTCTACGCCATCGGCAGCAAGGAGCATACCGGCCGGGCCGTCGCCACCATCGGCCCGCCCGGGGAGCGAGTTGACCATGTGCCCCTCGTACGCCACGTGTGCGGCGTCCATGCCGCGCTGGGCCAGCGCCAGCCGCGCCGGCCCGTTCATCGAGCCATTGGCAAAGCCAGCCTCGGCGACGGAGCCCCAAGCCGAGACAAATACCCCATCACTACCATGGAGAAGCCCGCGCTTCCCGCCAAACTCGCCCTCCATCACCGTCCCATCACCGAGCTCGAGCTTGCCTCGCCCCGAGCGGATGCTTCCCTCATATCGGCCGTCGTACCTCGCAGCATCGGCAGTAAAGACTCCGATGCCCTCCATTGTCTTCCGCTCCGGATCAAGCTCACCCTCCCACACAGTCGTCGTCCGCAGACCGGGCGCAGTCAGCTCATACACACAGCGGTAGTGCGGCGGATGAGGGGAGGGAGAGCACTCGGCATGGACAAGCAGAGTCAGAGCCACATACAGATACCCGGCACACGCCAGGACCACCACGGCCGCCACGCTGCAACACTTGCCGACTACCATGCCTGGGGAGATGGGCGAGGAGTGGGCGTGTCGGCGATGCCAGGGGGAGCTGCTCAACTCGAGTCGGACCCTGGTTGGGGTTGAAACGGACGGCTGGCTGTCTTTGGCTGGGAACAGAAATCAGAGCACAGCTCTGCTGTGGGACTGTGGGCCGTGGGCTGTGGGCTGAGCCCCCCCCCCCCCCCCCCCCCCCCCCCCCCTTTCCCGGCTCAGACCACTGCTTGGACTGCGATGGGATACACAACCTTGGACTGCGATGGGATACAAAACCTGATACAACTGGTTCACTCAGGGCTAGATCCAGGCATGACAAACATGGTGACATCGTCGTTTCCCTCGCCAGTCGGCACGTTGGAGGCGTCCGGGACGAGAAAGACGGTCTGCATGCCGGCCTGCTTGCGGGTCATGTTGACCATCAGATCCATGGAGACAGAACGATTGGCCACGTCCATAAAGACGTCGGCCTCGTCCATGACGCCAAAAGGGCCGCCAATGGCGTCCCAGAGCGAGAGCAGGTAGGCGACCATGGTCGTCGACCGCTCGCCACCGGAGAGATCACGGACCGGGCGAGGGATGGCCGACCGGTCGTTCTTGACGGCAACCCGGAGGGTGAGCTCGCGCTTGTTGTAGTCGACATCGGCCTGCCCAATGTTTCCAGAGACACCGAGGAGACGGACGAACATGCGCTCGAGCCGCCGTTTGGCTTGGAGCCGCGCATCCTTCATCCGCTCCTTGAGACGGCCAACATTGAGACGCATGCCCTTCATCTCGGCACGAAGCTGGCCAATGTGGGTCCGCGCTTCGTCGCATCTGCTCTTGAGCTGACGGGCGCGATTCCAGAGCGCACGCACATCGCCGTGCTGCGCCTCTTGGTCTTGGAACCGGTCGCGGAGCTGCGCGATAAGGCGCTCGATGTCATCGCACCGCTCCGTGACCTCGACGCGCTCGCCCCGGGTCTCGGCAATGGCAGTGGCGGACGCCACCTTTTTCTCGGCTGCCTCGACGTCGGCCGCCGCCTCGACCATCTTCTCGCCGAGCGCTGCAAGCTTCTGCTCATACTTGGTAACATCCCTATGGGCCATGACCTGCGCCTCACTTGCTCGCGTAACTTTGTCTTCCTGAGCCGTCTTGTCAGCGCGGATCGCCTCGACTTTGACCTTCAGACGCTCCATCTTCGCCTCCGCCTCTGCACACTTGGCGCCAGCGCGCTCGATCTCGCGCTGCGCGGTAGCGATTGCAGCCTCTGCCTTGGCTGCAATGTCCTGCTGCCTGGCAACGTACTTCTCTAGACTCGGCAGCTTGGTAGGGTCAATCGTGCTCAAATCCTGGGTTGCCAACGAGTTCAGCCTGTTTTTGAGCTCCTCGACCTTGTTGTGGAGCGTCTGCTTCCGTCGAGCCGCTGCATCCTGCCCACGCTTGATTTCGCTCAGCTGAGTGCCGAGCGAGCGAAGTTCGGCCGCGGCTTCGGCACGCTCGACCTTGGCCTCCTCATACCGGGTGCGAAGCGCCTCGCGCGAGGCTGCATCCGAGCCGAGCAGCGTCTGGCGGAGTCGCGAGGCGTATCGGATCCGCAACCCATTCTTGTTGAGGTACTGCGAGCCGTCGGGCGTCCAAGCGGCCATGACGTTGGTCCGCGCATGCGCCGGGCCCCTGTGCATGAGTTGCTTGCACTCGCTGTGCTCGCCAAGGACCATCCTCTCGATCCTACAGACATCAATGAGGGCGTTGACCACAACTACCGGTGCTTGGATCACTTCCAGCATGGTGGTGAGGCCCGGCGAAGGCGATCGAGCACTTACGTCGTACAGCTGCGAGGTGAACGAAGTACGGATGGTCGGTGGCGAGGACGTGTACCCGCACTGCAAACATAGCTTCCTCAGGAGCTTCTCATCGTTGACCGTGGCGACCACAAAGGCTGGCAAAAAGTTGCGGATGCACACCTCGACGGCCAGGGCCCACTTATGGTCGCGGAGGCTAATGAGGCCGCCGATCGGGCCGAGCGGCTTGGCGTAAAACTTGCCCGCCGCTGCTGCTGCATCAATGGCTTCCAAGAGCTTGACAACGTTGGCCTTTCGTGGCACAAACCGAGCAATGCGGTTGCCGCGAGTCCGCTCGAGCTGGTCAATCTCGCGAGTGATCTTGCCCATCTCATTCTTGCTGCCAATCTCGCGGGATTTGGCGGCCTGCATGGCGGTCTCAGCCTCGCGACGGGCACCTAGAATCTCATCAAACTCTTGCGCGGCAGTAAGGAACTCATGCTCGGCTTCCTCGATCTTGGCGCTGAGCCCGACCATCGACGCCGCCTGCTGCTCGCGGTAGGCCTCTAGCGAGCCTGCCTCATCACAGATGGCGGCTTGCAGCTCAGCAATTTCGGAGCGGGTCTTCTCGATGTTGGACGTTGTTCCTTTGAGAGTCTCTTGGCTTTGCTTCAGGGTCAACTGTGCCAAGTTCTCATCGCGTTGCGCCGACTGCTTTTCGGCGCGGATGTTGGCGATGGCGGCGGAGGTCTCATTGCTGGCGGCGGTCAAGCGGTTGAGCTCGTCAATGGCGCTCTTCTCGTTGGCAACCGCCGTCTTTTCTGCCTTGACCTTACTGGCGACCTTGGCCTCAATCCGTGGTTTGTACCCCAAAAACTTGTCATGCTTGGCGCGGGCCTCGGCAAGGGCAACCTCTTCGTCGCGAACGCAGGCCCAGGCATAGTGTAGCTTGGCCTTCTTGAGTTCGGCGCGGGTGACTTCGATGTCACTGGTGGCAGCAGCCTTGGCCTTGGCCTCGGCGTACTGCTCCTCCATCCGCGGCAGCTCGATGCCCGCCTTGTGGCTGAGCGCCTTGTCGGCGTCGTCCAGCTCCTCGAGGGCGGCGGCGACCTGCTCCTCCATCGCTCCGAGACGGGTCCCGATCACAAACAGCTTGAACAGATCGCTCGACTGCTTGCTGGCCATAAACTCCACCGATGTTGTCTGGTCAAGCACGCAGTACGGGTTCTGAACCTGGATGTTGAACGCGTCGAGCATGGCGCGCAGCTCGTCGGCGCCGGTCGACACAACCTTGTTCTCTGCACTCAGCAGCCGATAGCTGGACGTACCGGTTGCTTTGCGCAGGATGCGCTCGACGGTCACAGACGAGCCATACGCCGAGAACCGATACGCAGATGGCCCACGGTTGTTCATCCGGACCCGCACAATCGCCGCCTCGCCGTGATCGCCCACTAGCTCCGCCAGCGAATCGGCTCGGCGGGTCCGTCTTGCGCTCGCCCCAAGCCCGACCATAATCGCCGCCACAATCGTTGACTTACCCGACCCGTTGCGACCGGCGATAAAGTTGACCCGCGGGCCGAGCTCGACTTCGAGCTTCTCAAACGACATAAAGTTGAAGAACGAGACGTGCTGGATGACGCCGGCCCGTGGCCCATCGATCGGATACTCGGCCGCCTCGGGATCGTCGTCTTCGTCACACGGGGCAGTGGCGTCTAGCGCCGACCACCATCGCAAAACACCACACCAGAAGTCACCAACCGCGGGCTGTGAGTCGCCCCCATGCCTTCCTCCCGACCTGCTGCCCCTAGAGCCTGGTCCAAAAAAGGTCGCAATTTCCCCTCCCACCCTCCCACCCTCCCAACCCACCTCCCCTCATTGCGCTTCGACCTACCGTGCTGTAGCTCGCGCATGACTTCAGCCTTGGCCTCTTCATCCAAACGTTTCATGGTGGCTATGCGTGAGGCCATGGCGTCCTCGACGGTGGCCTGCAGCTCGAGCGTGGCCGTGTCGCCCGGCGCTACGGCTGGCGGCGGGGGCGGGGGTGAGGTCGAGGTCGAGGCGTGTGCGCGAACCCTGCGCCCGCCGTCGGACCCGTCCTCACCCTCAAGATCCACCTCTGGCTCGGACTGGAGGGAGGCTTCCTCCTTTGCAACATCGTCCACTTTCCGCTTGGGCATGGTAGCCTAAACCGGGTCAAGTGTGTCTGTGGGGAGAAGGCGAGGCTAGTCCGACCTCGGTAGGGAGTGTGCCCTCCGCGGAAACTTTTCTACGTAATCATTGATTGCCTGCTCTGCCGAGTGGCCAGCGTAATTGCAGTTTGCAGCCGCCGCGTCGTCCACCGTTCGACGAGTCGGCGAATGGTGCAACTTTGCCAGGGGAGGGGACACACCGCTTCGCAGTCCTTCGTTCGGCGCGCCATGTCGAGCGACCAGCAGGCCGCACTCTCTGCCTACCGCAGCAAGCTCCTTCAGCACCGCGAGCTTTCGTCCCGTGTGCGTGAGCGTACGTACACTCTATGCGGCATGTCATGTTGCGTCCCGCCGTCTTCTGCTCTCTCGCAGGCGGCTTGGCTTGGCGAGGTGCTGTTACTGCGACCTGCGTTTTTCCAACGAGAGCCAGTGGCACCTCTTCACCAGGCAAGGCGACCTGCGGGAAAGGCTTGCGTGGGAGAGGAAGGGAGGGAAGAGGAGAAGAGGGGAAGGGGTGTACTCATGGCTGGATGTTGTGTTGTGTTGTGTGTGTGTGTGACTGTGCATGCATGTGCATGTGTGCGTGTGTGTGTGTGGTTGTGTCTGGTGGTGTCGGCGTGGCCTTGTGTGCGGCGGGAGACGGGCGACAGTGCGGGCGCAGGTGAAGCAGCAGCAGAAGGACTACGACAAGTCTGAGGATGACCTTACGGCGCTGCAGTCTATCGGGCAGATCATTGGCGAGGTGATCCGGCATCTGGACGGTGACCGGTTCATTGTCAAGGCCTCGTCCGGCCCGCGTTACGTGGTGGGGGTGCGGACCAAGCTCGACAAGGCGAAGCTTGTGCCGTCGACGCGCGTGGCGCTGGACATGACGACGCTGACGATCATGCGGATTCTTCCGCGCGAAGTGGATCCGCTGGTGTTCAACATGGTGTCTGAGGACCCGGGCGACGTGTCGTACTCGTCGATTGGCGGGCTCGCCGAGCAGATCCGCGAGCTCCGCGAGGTTGTAGAGCTCCCGCTCATCAACCCGGAGCTCTTCCTCCGCGTGGGCATCAAGCCGCCAAAGGGCGTGCTGCTGTACGGCCCCCGGGGACGGGCAAGACGCTGCTCGCGCGTGCGGTGGCGGCGCAGATGAACTGCTCGTTCCTCAAGGTCGTCTCATCGGCCATTGTGGACAAGTACATCGGCGAGTCTGCACGGGTCATTCGCGAGATGTTTGCGTGGGCCAAGACCAACGCTCCGTGCATTGTGTTCATGGACGAGATCGATGCCATCGGCGGCAAGCGGTTTAACCAAGGCACGTCTGCCGACCGTGAGATCCAGCGGACGCTCATGGAGCTGCTCAACTGCATGGACGGGTTCGACACGCTCGACGGCGTCAAGATTGTCATGGCCACAAATCGGCCCGACGTCCTCGACCCGGCCCTCCTCCGCCCGGGCCGCCTCGATCGCAAGGTCGAGATCCCGCTGCCTAACGAGGAGGCCCGCCGCGACATCCTCACCATCCACTCGGCAAAGATCGTCAAGATGGGCGAGCTCAACTTTGACTCGGCCGTCCGCCTCTCCGACGGCTTCAACGGCGCCGATCTCCGCAACGTGTGCACAGAGGCCGGCCTCTTTGCGCTCCGCGATGACCGCGCCTACGTTACCGAGGGCGACTTCATGAAGGCCGTCCGTAAGATCCGTGAGGCCAAGAAGCTCGAGACCAAGCTGGATTACGGCAAGGTGTAACCAACGGTTGCCACGGGAAGACGTTAAACTTCCAGAGCTTGAGCTGATTGATTGTGTCGAGTTACAGAGCCATGACGGCTGCGACCTTACGGACGGTCCGCGCGCCGAGATCGATCGCGGCGGCGTCGTCGTCGTCGTCGTTGCCACCGCGGCCAGCTTCGCCGCCGGCAGCTTCAAGGTACTCGGCAAGGATCGGGCGGATGCGGGCAAGCGAGAGGCTGTTGCGGTTGAGGGCGTCAACGAGGGTGGCGGCGTCGTCAGGGCTCAACCGTGGCGCGTAAAGGTGGAGCAGACCGGCCACCACTGCGATGCGCTGGAGCGTGAAGAGGCCGGCATCGAGGCGCTGGATGTAAAGGTCGTCGGCGAGAGCGGCGCGAGCGGCGGGAGCGAGCGGGGCGACAATGGTGGCAATGCGCGCGTCCTCAGCGGCCGCGCGCTCGGCGTAGCGGGCGTGGAGCGTGGCAAGCCGCCCAGCCTTGCCGTCCTCGGTGAACTTGTGAACGACGCGGAGTAGGGCGAGGCCGTCGAGCCAGACAAGAGCGGCTGCGAGGCACGAGACAACGTGCTCGACATCGGCCTCGGCGTCGTACGCCTTGAGGGCGAGCTTGCGCTTTCGCGCCGCAGCCTTGGCGGCAACCTGGATGGCGTCGGCCTCGGCCTGGTCGGACGCGCCTGCGAGCGCGGATTTGACCTTGGCCTTGGCCTTGGCCTCGCGTTCGGGCGCGCGCTCGGCCTTGGTCGAGAGCAGAGCACCAAAGAGCATACCGAGCGAGCCCGAAGCAACCAGCGACGAGGCTGCGGCCGGCGAGCCGGTCAGCGCAAAGTCGAGGAGTTTGAGCGCGGCCGGGCGGGCGACGCCCTTGCCGGCGACCAGTGCCGCGAGTAGCTCGACACCCTCAAGCGCCACAAAGCGAGCGTTGAGCTCGACCGAGGCCATGAGGAGCGAGCAAAGCGCATCGAGACAGTTGTGAACGTACTCCTCCTCCTCGGCATCGAGCGAGCCTGGGGCAGCGGCCCTGTAGTCGGCGAGCGAGACCAGGATGCCGTCGAGCCAATCGTCGCCGGCGGCGTTGGCGGCAGCCACTGTCGGGTCGGCGGCCGACGCGGCCACGACCGCCAGCAGCTCGGCAGCGTACATTTTGTTCTCGTCAAATGCAACAGCGCGCCGCGGGCGGAGCCAGTTGCCAAGCACCTCCACCAGCGGTGTCACGCTCGCCAGCGCGCCCGCCACCAGCGGCTGCCAGCCGATGAGATGGTCGAGAACGGCCATGCAGCGGTAGGCACTCTCGGCGGCGTCCTCGGCGTCTGGCGTGCGTCCGGGCGGCGTGCTGACGTCTTTGGGCATGCCACGGACAACGCCGGGCTCGGCTGCCAGTCGCGCGAGGTGGTTCACCACCAGCGGCAGCAGCTGGCCCTTGTTCACCAGCGCCGAAATGAGCGAGAGCGTTGCGGCCGCATCGCCCTTGCCCGACACGCCGTCTGGGTCGGCAATCTCCTCGACAATGCGGACGACAACGTTTGCGACGTCGGTGTTGTCGTGGGCCAACAGCGGCGGCAGCAGAGTGGCAATGCCACGCAAGACAGCGAGCGGAAAGAGCTGGGCGTTGGTGGAGATGGTGCCGAGGCGCTCGAGCGAGGCCACGAGCGCCATCTCGGACTCGAGAAAGAGCTCAGGGCGACCGGCAGCCTCGGCGCGATCGATAGCGTTCTTCTGTGCTGCCGACTCGACCGCCGCCAGCACACCAGGCAGCGATGTGGCGTCGACGGCAAAGACATTGCCGACCTCTGTGCTCGATGCCGCCACATACGCACTCGCCGACGCCGTCACCTCCATATCCACCACCTTGTTCGGGTCGTCTACACCATCCCCCCATCCCCCCTGCTCCACTCGCCATGCTGCTACTCTCCATCTCCGTCGAGTTGCGTCGCTTGCGCTTGCTGGTCTCGTCCATGGCTGCTGGGAATGCGAGTCAAGTGGCTGCCAGCCGACTTTGTTGCCGGCGGCGGCGGTGTGCGGCGGTGTTGGCCTTTCGAGACGACCCGAGGCGTGGGTATGGGAAATGCATGGTTGTGTGTGTGCATGTGCCTGCGTGTGCGCGCGTGTATGTGCGCGTGTGTGTGGTGGGGTCTGGTTGGATGGGGAGCTCAAAGTAACCGATGAGTTGGCCTTGACCGCGTCGGCATCATCAGCATCCCATCCATCAACGTCCGCCCAACCAGCCCAACAGGGCCCGGCCGATGATGGCCATGCCCATACTACGCCACCACCACCACCGATCATCACACTCGCGAGGCCTGTACTGATCTCCGTCTCTGCCGCGCATCGTTCATCCATCTTCATCGCACCAACATTGTCGATGTCTCGCTGTTTGGCAGTTGGCGCTGTGGTGTAGGTGCCCGCTGGCAACTGCTGCTGCCGTTGGCAGGATGTGGCCAGTGAGACGAGCGGGAGCGGGAGCAAAGGTAGACTTGACTTGGGCAGCAGCTGTTCGCAAGCATAGACATTGTACAACAAGTATACACTTTGTCTGCTTGCTGTTGTTGCCAACCTTCTGTCGATGGGCAACTCGCTGAAGACCGTGCTGGGCAAGGCCCGTGCTGACGGGCGGTTGACAAGCGCTTTGGCTCGCCATGACTGGCGGGAGTTGCAGGGCTTTGTGGCTGGAACCCTGGCCCCGGTGACTGGCGAGACAGTGGCGCGTGTACTGCCGAGTCATGCTGATGATGGCGTTTGTCACGCTCTGGCTGCTGCTCTCGTCGCCACCTTTGGGCCTTCGCTGGCTGACATGGCTGAGCCTGACGTCGGCGAAGTTGTGGGCTTTGCGCTCGCAGCCGCCATGCTCGCTGCTCCGGTTGCTCCGTCACTCGCCGCCAGGCTTGCGCCACCGGCCAAGATTGCAGATGCGTCGTCGTCGTCATCGTCGTCGTCCTCGACGTCGTCGTCACTGTCTGATGGCGATGGCGTCGACGAGGACGACGACGAGAACAACGACCGTGACGCGCTGCCGGATCGGGCGACTGACGCGGCGCACGAGGCCGTTATCAAGGCGCTTTGGGCAATTGCCGATGAGCAGAACAGACACTTTTTGCCGCGGGCCAAGGTGGCGCAGCTGGTCGACGATGCAGCGCTCGCCGCCAAGCGCGTTGCAGTCCTGTTCGAGGTTCTCGGCTCGGTGGAGAAAAACATCGGCAGCGATAGCAGGAGCGGGAGCGGCAGCGGTTCCGGGCCGGGCAGGATTAAGCTGAGCAAGTCGAAGCGCAAGAAGCTGGCGCGAACGGCGCTGACAGCCAAGGAGAGCCGGGCAGCAGCACAGCTGGCCGAAGACGTGTTTGCGGTGTGTGCCGACGACCAGGACCGGGTTTGCTACCATCTGGTGGCGCAGAAGATGTGGCACCCACGGCTGGTGGCTCTGCGGTCGTGCCTTGAGGGCCTGCACGAGTTGCGGGCGCGGCTACCGGCGAGCCTGCCCGGACATGGACACCTCGTCCATGGCGAGACGATCCGCGACTCGGGCTCATCGTTCTCGGCGTCGGGCAGCATCGGTGGCTCGTACTCGTACTCTGCACCGATTCGGATGCGGGCGTCGCATGCGCGGTCCCGCAGCAGCCGGTCCCGGCGGGCGTCGCACCGGGTCTCGCGCCGCGGGCGGCGAACTCGTCGTCGGCGGGTCCGGCGGCGGTCGCATCGGTCGCAGCGGGCGTCCGGCTCGGTGGTACAGCGCGAGGCTGTTGCCGACGGCTCGGTTGTCTCGTCACTGGCGTCGATGCCGCGCGGCTCGCTGCGGTCCTCGCAGCGGGCCTCACTCCGGGCTTCGCATCGGGCCTCGCATCGGGCCTCGCTCCGGGCGTCGCACCGGCGGCGGGTCGTCATTGTCGAGCCGATTACCTCGAGCTCGGGCGGAGACTCTTGCTCGTGGTCTCAGTTTGAGTCTGAGACACAGAGCGAAAGCTCATCGGCGGCGTCTAGCCCTGTACCCGAGTACCAGGCGAAGAGCGGCGGCAGTGGCCGCAAGGGCAAGGACAGGGACAAGGGCAAGGACAAGGACAAGGGCAAGGACAAGGACAAGGGCAAGGGCAAGGGCAAGGGCAAGATCAAGATCAATGACAGGGGCAAGAAGGTGCAGAGGGTGAGGCGGCGGCGGCGGGTGGTGGTGACTCCCAGCACTCCGGAATGAAGAGACGTAGTGTGTGTGTGCAGGAGACCGGTTTACGCGGCCTCGGACGACGTGGCGGCAGCAACAAGCGAGGGAGGGTTGGCCGAGGCAGTGGCGTCAGCGCTGCGGGCGGCAAGGGCGCGGTACTTTGGGTTGACGATGATGCCGTTCTCGTGGAGAACGTCGACAGCGATGGCTCTCCAGGACTTGGCCATGGAGAGCGGCATGTTGAGCATGTAGCCGAGGCCGCGGAGGAGCATGCAAAGACGGCCGGCCATGATGTACTGGTTGGGCATGACGGTGACCGGATCGCGGCGGTCGAGCTCCTCAAAGAAGAGCTGGATGTTGAGACCGCCGGTGACATCGGGCGTGTCGCGGTCAAAGAAGACAGTGCCGATGGCGCGGAGGACATCTTCGTCCGAGTACTTTGTGCGGAAGCCCATCTCGCGCATGATCTGGACAATGGCGGCGTCGTCCTCGTCGGCGAGGGCGACGACCAGCTGGGCGAGCAGCAGCCGCTCGTGATGTGAAATGTGCTTGACCTGGCCAAAGTCGACAAGGCCGAGCCGGCCGTCCGGAGTGAGGAGGATGTTGCCCGGGTGCGGATCGCCATTAAAGGCCCCGTCGACGAGCACCTCGTGACCGTGGACATGGACGAGGGTCTCCATGATTGCGTCGACGTCGAGGAGCTCGAGCGGCTCGACATAGTCGACTGCGCCAAAGATCCAACCGAGGGTCCAGTTGTAGGTGCCGCGGGCGACGTTCGACGCGAGGCTCTGTGCGTAGATACCGGCCTGGACAGCAATGTGGCGTGCGGTCGAAGCCTTGGCTTCAGCAGCCTCGGACTTGCGGACTTGCTGGGAGCGGAGCTGCTCGACGGTCATACCCTTGGCGGCAGCCACCTTTTCAAAGTAGGCCTGCAGGCCGACATGAAGCTTCGGGCCCTCGATGTAGTCCATGACGAGCACGGCGCGGGTGCAGAGGTTGAGCACCGGTCGTGGGACGATCACTTTCCGGGCGTACGGCGAGGCGGCGAGATTGTCGGCAATCTCGACGAGGTGCTCGGCCTCGCCGACGTAGTCAAACTCGGTGAGGAACTGCTTCTCGATTTCGTCGAGCATTGGGACGTGCGCCGGCTGTGCGAGCTCGCAAAAGGCACGGATGGTGGCCACGTCCGAGCGGAACAGGCCTTCGACCTTGGGATACTGGACTTTGACAACGACAGGCTTGCCCGAGTCACGGAGCACGGCCTTGTGGACCTGGCCGATGGAGGCGGCGCCGAGCGGGCGCGGCTCAAAGTCGGCAAAGACAGTGTCGAGCGGCGCGCCGAGCTCGCGCTCGACAATGTCGCGGATGGTGTCGAACGAAAGTGGCGGGACGTCATCCTGGAGAATGGAGAGCGCGTTCATGTACTGCGGCGGGACCATGTCGGCGCGTGTGGCGCCGACCTGGCCGATCTTGATGTAGAAGCCACGGAGAGCGAGGATAATGTCGCGAGCCCGCTCGGCATACCGCTCGTGGAGCTCCTCAAAGGCGGCATCCTGCACGTTTTCGGGATCGTCTGCGACTCGCCACATGGTGAAGCGGTAGTGGAGATAAATCGGAAACGCGTTGCGCCAAAAGTAGAGCGAGCGCTGCATGCCCTCGTCGTGCTGGGCCTGCCACGCCACACCGGCCGCCCCGGCACCACCTACCGCTACAACGCCCAGCGCCAGCTTGGCCTTTACCGAAAGCTTTCCACTTGCTGCTGATCCACGAGACGAAGCCTGACTTGCTACGCTTCGGGCTTGTGCGCCTAGAGTCGGCACATGTCGCGCTGTGACGCGGCCGATGAGGGTGAGCATGACGCGTTGGAGTGGAGTGACGCGGGGCACGCCGGTGGAGGCTGGCAACGGATCGGCTAGCGTGGCATGGCCACGGGCGCTGGTCAAGTGGGATGGAAAGGAGATGTTACTTGTGGTACCGCTGGCGGTGTCCATGCGGGTGATGAAGGGTGTGATTGGGCGCGGGCACGGCAAGGAGTGGTTGCAGGTGCTAGGTGCGATGGGGACGGAAGCGCGAGGGTGGGTCAAAGTCGGCGCCCGAAAAGATGTTGTACTGGGCAGGCGGAGGGGCACACGCGCCGCGGGCCATACGGGCGACGCCGTGGATTCGAGAGCGATCCGGCCTGCGCGGCGGCGCCGGGACCGGCTTGAGCTGCGGACGGTAGTCTTGGTCGCTAGAGGTGGTGATGGGGCCGGGCGGGGCGCGAAGCGGACGTCCGGTGAGGACGTCAAAGGCGTAGCGCGATTGGGCGGCCGAGGACGGGGCACGAGCCTTGCGGCCGGCGCCATGGAGAGTGCGAGCTGCGGGCGGATCGCGGAGGGCTGAGACATGAGCGCGGGCTTCGAGCGATGGCGAGTGGCCCAGCCTGCGAAGAAGCGGGTCCTGCAGCGGCTTGTTGGAGAGGAGATCGTAGCCAGAGGCTGTGGCGGAGGAGCGCTGCGACTTGGCGCGGGCAGCCTGGAGAGCAGCGCGAGACCGGTCCTGCTCAGCGCGGAGACGGGCCTCCTGGGCGGGGGTGGCGTAGTGACCAGTGATGGTGTTGAAGGATGAATCGGCGTGGGCATGAGCGTTGATGTTGCGCGAGCGTGGCAGGCGACGCGGGACAGGGTCGGACGTTGGCTGGGCAACAGCGTAGGGCGCAAAGTGTGGGGCAGGCGGCGGTGGCGGGGCGCGTTTGGCGCTGGTGTACTCGGCGAGGGAAGCAGCCCACTCCGAGGCTGGATGCGGGGTCGGAGTCCGCAATGGCTGCCCTTCCGGCGGCTGAGCATGGGTGCGGGCGTGGGCGTACGGCTCGGGCCGCGGACGGGAGAGGCGGACGAGACGCGGGTTGGGCCGCGGGCGGACGACAGCACGGGGGGTATGCAGCTCGTGCTGGTGCTTGGCCGGGTCGGCACGCCACCCGTACGCAGGCGGGGGCTTGAATGGGTGCGGGGTGGTCATGGAAAGGGGTGAAGTGTGAGAAGGATGCGCGTATTGGGAGGCCAAGGGGCTTCAATGGAGAGGCAGCGACATGGGCGCGGGCGGGAGCGGTCGACGGGGATCGAGAGGGAGGCCGACAAGGCTGCGTCTCCTGGACTCATGATGAGTCCTGCATGGGAATGACGACAGAGGATGCCGAGACTGCGGCGGCAGACGGCGGCGGAGCAGAAGAGGACGAGGAGGAGGCCGGCTCCGAAACTGCGGCGGTTTCGGCAGCGGCTTCGGCCTCGATAGCGTCGCGAACGGGATCAAAGTACGGGTGGGCCATGGCCTCGGCGGCTGTGGGCCGCATGACCGGATCATAGTAGAGGAGCGAGTCGAGGAGATCAATGGCCTCGTCGGAGTAAAAGTGGCGGTTGTCCGAGTTGACAAACTTGGACCAGGGGCGCTTGGGAGTGGGGCGGAGCTTGTTGACGTACCACGCATCGAGCTCGAGGCCGTACTTGTCGACATACTCGTAGAGGCCGTCTGTGCCTAGGACCTGAACGATTTTGAGCAGTTGGTCCTGATTGTCCGCGCCTCGGAAGAGTGGCTCGCGGAGAAAGATGAGGCCGCCCATGACGCAGCCGACGGCCCAGAGGTCGATGGGCGCACCGTAGTCCTGGTGGCCGACCAGGAGCTCGATCGACTTGAAGAAGCGCGAGGCAACGCGGACGTTGAAGCAAAAGCCCGGAAGGTAGTACTCGGCCAGGCCCCAGTCGATGAGGCGCAGCTTGCGCTGGGCATGGTCGATCATGATATTCTGCGGCTTGACGTCGCGGTGGATGATGCCCTCCGAGTGGGCAAAGTGAAGGGCGCGCAGGAGCTGGTACAGGTAGTAGCGAGCGTCAAGATCGGTGAGCTGCGGGTAGAGAACCTTAAAGTCGGTGTTGTCGACCGCCTCGAAAATGAGGGCGGGCGTGCCGGTTGTCGGATCGCGGACGACGTCGTAGAGCTTGATGATGTTGACGCCACCGTGAAGCGACTGGAGAATGGAGATCTCGCGCTTGATTTTCTTAGTCTTGACCGGCTTGAGGACCTTAATCACGACCTTGCGCCCGTTGACCACGTTGCGGCCGAGAAAGACCTCTGAGTACTTGCCGCGCCCGATCTTCCGAACTGCCTCATAGTTCTCCACGTCGCCCCACTCGATGGTGATCTTCTCGTAGGTGTAGAACGACCGCGGCCGCTTGATGCACACATCTGCAAAGGTCCGGGCAATCGTGCCCACGCCTAGTCGAGTCCGAGTCCACCCCGTGTACCATGGCGTGTGAGTGGAGCGTCATGTCCCATGTGCGGTACGTAGCTGCCGTCGATCACTTTCCCATGCCCCCCCCCCCTCCCCCCCTACCCCCTTCTCCCCCTACTCGCTTGACAAGCCGCATGACAGCGCCACCAGTGAGCCCAACTCGCAAAAGAATACGTACCCACCATGTGTGTGGCGTGGAGAGTTCCGGAGAAAGACTGCGGTGAAGTGGTGACGGGTGAGTTGTGGGGGGAGGGGAGGAGGGCAGGGCAGGGGCACAAGCCAGCGGCGAACGCGCAAGTGGCTGGCGACTCGGGTGCAGCCGGGAGGGTAAGGGCGGGTTGGGACAGCCTCCGTCGTCATACTCAACTGTAGCCCAGGCATGGCGAAGGGAAATACGGGCAAGCGTGGCAAGGGGCGCATGGGTCGCATGCTGGAGCATGTGCCGGCGAGCTTGTTTGCGTTTGGCGGAGTGGTGGCGGGGTTGGGCGCGGCGTGGGTGCGGCGGCAGCCGCTGGTGGTAGCGGGTGGCGGCGAGGCGCTGACCTCGGTGTGGAGCGATGTGATGGTTGTGGGCTCGGCAATGATGTGTGTTGGATTTGTGGCGGCGAACATGAGCTCGTGGCTTGCGCCAGGTCTTGCGGATGAGTACGATCATCCTGAGATGTACCGCGAGTGGCGCGACTGGACGGCCGGCTACCTCCTCCTGTTCCCGTACATGTACGCGCCGTTGCTCATCGGGCTGCACGATGTGGTCCGGGCGCTCTCAGAGACGCCCCAGACAGGGCCTGAAGCATCTGTGTTTGCGCTTTACTTTGCGGTATGGCTCTTTGCGGCTGGCTGCTTCCCGGTGTTTGTGTACATGTACGCGTCGTTTGTGGTCTCGAACGCGCTGTTCTTCTCGTGGAGCCTCGCGCTGCTGGCACAGATGGCGGGCGGGATGCAGGCGCTGGTGGCGTGGCGGACGGCATGGATGTGAAAGTCTAGCGGCCAAAGAGCGTACCGCAGCAGCGCAGACCGGCCTTGCCGATGACGTCGATGTCAATGTCGTGCAGAGCGCAAAAGGCGCGCACGAACGGCGCGTCCTGAGGCGAGAGCGAGAGCTCGTCGGGGAAGAGCGAGGCGTGGAGAGCAGCACGCTCAGCGGCGCCGCGGCGGTTTGTGGCCAGCTCATTGAGGTCACGCAGGAGTGTGTTGTTGGTGCGACGAACAAAGTCTGTCATGGAGCCCAGCTCGCCCGAGTTGGATGCGCGGACCAGATAGCGGTAGCGGGCGCGGTCAGCGTGGGTGAGGGCAAGGGCCTTTGCATCGGTGTCGGGATTGGCGAGCACAACAGTCTGATTGTTGACGTAAACGTCGTAAAGGGCCGGCTTCTCGGCAAAGATGGCTTCGGTGGTACAGGCGACAAACGGAGTGCGGTCGGCGGCGTACTGCTCAAGCTGGTCAATGTCAGCGACCGAGACGTAGAAGAGCGGATTGAGCGCCATGTCAAAGACCATGGGAATGTCGTGATGGGCGAGGAGGCAGGCAAAGAAGACTCGGAAGCAGACAACTTCGATGGGTGGCCGTGAAAAGAACAGAATGCGCTTCTTAAGGAGCATGGCTTTCCACAGGACAAAGATGGAGGGGCCAAAGTAGCGGACAAAGTTCTCAAAGCGAGCCACTGGGTTGACAGCCGTCAGTTGGTCCTGCTGCGAGACGAGAGGGCCAAGCGGGTCAGAAATGGGCTGGAGCGACGATGAGGCCCCCTCATCCCCATCTGCGGCGTCGTCAGCGTTGTCGACAAGGAGAGTGGCCAGGTAGGCCTCGAGCTGTGCGGCAAGCGCTTCGCCCTGGTGGCTGGCAAGCGTGGCAGCCGGCGTGGGCCGCGCATCCATTGGCGGCGTGTCTTCGGAGATCGCTGACGAGACCGAGTTCGAGTCGTCCTCGGCATTAGCCTTGCCCGCGGCCTTAGCGGAAGCGGCTGGTGCGCCCGGCTCGGCTGGCTCGAAATCGATGAGCGGAGCCGGGGCAGCTGAAGCCGGCTCATCCAGTAGCGCGGGTTGTGCAAGCTCCTGTGGCGGCGACGGACTGCTCACCTTGGCAAGAGCAACTGCCAGTAGAGCATCGATGTGGTACTGGACCGACGAGACAAGGAAGGGGAGGAAGAGATGCAGGCGGGCGTAGGATGGAGCGATGACGCCGACGGCAGCGGTGACAGCGCCGCGAGGGACCAGCGGGTGCTCGCGACGAGCATAGGCCGCTGCACCGTAGCGGGTAGAGGGAGATGTAAGCGAGGGCGGGATGGAGAAGTATACAATGTCCGAGGAGACGGTGTGTGAGCCGGCGGGGAGAGCCTTGAACTCGAGGCCGAGGTCGTCGTCGGCGTCGAGGGCGGGTGCGACGACGAGAGGGTGTTGCCGAGGTGCTCGTCAAAGACCGCAGTAAAGACATGAGCATAAGACGGAGGGGTTGACGGAGGCGGTGTGGGAGGAGAAGAGGGAGCTAGTGGCTCGGATGTGGGATGAACCCGGGCATGGCAAAGGGAGAGAGACAGAGAGAGAGAGAGAGAGAAGAGGTAGCGTGGCGGGAGAGAGGGAGGGGAGAGGGCAACTGTGGCGCGAGTTTCGATGGAAGGCAACGAGAGTGAGTACGAGAGAGTGTATGTTTGGTGGCACACTCGACTCTGTAGACAGAAGACAGAAGACAATGGACATAGCAGGTGTCAATGTTGTGTCGGTGGAGGTGCATGGGCTGGCAGTGACTGAAGTGGCTGGCCAGAGGCGGCGGATGGAGGTGGCAAGGAAGGAGTGTGCGGGCAAGCGCGAGGCTGTGGCAGGCGCGATAGTATGCGGTGTGCACGATGGGATGGTGGTGGGCGTGCGCATGGCATGGGCATGGGAGTTGTGGTTGGGATGATGGTGATAATGGTGGAGTAGGGGGTGAGTGTGGTGGTTGGCGGGGATCGGACGTAATGAGTATGGTAGGGGGGATGAGGGGGGTCGTGACGTGGGAGGTGCGGCGGGCGGAGGGAGAGCGGGTATGGAGAATGGGCTTGAGGATTGATGTGGGTGGGTAAGATGAGAATGGTGGGCATGTGTGGAGTGTGGGCGATGAGAGTGGAGGGGCTTGGGCGGCGAGGAGAGGAGGGCGGGATGGATTGGATTGAGATGGACGTCGATGGGGACGATGGCTTGGAATTGGAGAAGAAAGGAGGCAAACCACTGCACTCTAGCCCGTCACTGCATTGGGTATCGCTTACCCTTCCCCTCTCTTGTTCTTCCTCGTCCTGGCCAGCCCACTGGCTTCGTCGTCTGGCTCGGTGATCGGCGGCAGGGGCGGCTGGCGATGGGCAGGCCGGCGCGGGCTGTGATGGGCAAGGCCGGAGAAGGGAGGGGAGCAGTGGGTTGGAGGGCAGACTGATAGGCATTGCCAAAAATGTGGCTATCTCTTTGTATTGTTTTCAATGTCCTGTCGATGGCTAGCCTGCTCTCGGTGGTGCCGGCGGTGGTCGGTCGGCGGCGGGCGGCGGTCAGCGGCGAGCAGCCGGCGGTCAGCAGCGATGCTGTTGACGGGATGGCGTCGGCTGATATGCGTATCGGCGGGCAGGGAGTGAGTGGCTATGTTTGCAGGGGTGGTGAGTACGTGTGGTGTGGGTGTGGTGGTTGTGGGTGGAGATGGTGGGGAGTGGAGGTCGGAGATGGGCCCGGGGCGGGGTGGTCAGCAGCATCGAAGGGACACAGGGCCAACAACTTGGGCCTGAGCCGGCAGAACTCGGATTCTGGAATACTGCAACTGTGGATTGGAGACTATGCAAGGGTGTATTGTGGGCGTGTAGAAGAGTAGTAGTGAAATTCGATTTGGCATATCTTGTAATGCGGCTGGTGGGGGGCATGTGCGGGGTTGAGCGGTCGAGGACGTGCTCAACCACCTAGGCAAAACAAGCCGACGCGGAAATGAGCCGAGGAAGATGGGTGTCGATGACGACGGTATTGATACTGGTGCTAGCGCATGGCGAGTGAAAACCTTGGGTGTGGTCGCGGGTTGTGTAGCTGGTGGTGGGTGGGAGCTAGGTGGTGATGAGGGTCGGCCTGATCGGGCGAGCGGGCGGCGGCTGGCGGCTGGTGGTCGGCGAGGCGGAGCAGCTGAAGGAGCTGGGTCGGGACTGGGTGGCTAAAAGTTACTGTTGGTCAGAGGATGGGCAGTCTGGCATGTGATGGTTGAGAAGTGTGGGTGTCGGGGACGGGGATGAGGATGGAGGTGACGTAGAGCGGGAAGACGAGGAGGATGAGGAGGAGGAGGAGGAAGCCGAGTGCGCGATGGGATGGTGGTGGGCATGGCCATGACATGGGGGTGGTGGTTATGGCTAGAATGTAGGTAATGATGGTGGAGTAGGGGGTGAGGGTGGTGGTTGGTGGTGATGGGGCGTAATGAGTATGGTAGGGGGGATGAGGGGGGTCGTGACGTGGATGGCGTGGCAGGTGGAGGGGGAGGTGGGTATGGAGATTGGGGTGAGGGATTGATGTGGGTGGGTATGGTGAGGATGAAGGCTGGGTGTGGGGTGTGGGCGATAGGAGCGGCGGGTACTTGGCCGGCAGAGGGAAGGCGGCGGACGTTAATTGAGTTGAACGTTGAAATAATTGAAGAAAAGCCGGAACCAGCATCAAACAAGGCAATGACGTCCACAACAACAACCAAAGATCATACATGGCTTGCACAGCACACGTATGAGTACGCCAACAGGGACTGGACAAAGCTAGCAGGCAATGGGATGAACTCGGGTGACGTTTAGGTCGATGAGGCAAATCGCGGTTGATCGATCAGATCTGCAGATCAACCATGACCACGACACAACAAGGTCAAAACAAAATACATAAAATGCAAAACTATTGACCATAGCCAACGACAACAAAGTTGAGAATCGATAGTATAGTGAGCAACGATCGATCATGGATGTGGAAGTCAAGGCCGAAGAATACAGGAGACTCAAGAACAAATGAAGCATGAAGAATGATGATAAAAAGCAACAACAAGAGCCAAAAGAATGATGAATAGGAATGCATGTCGATTGTGGTCAAGCATCAAAGCAAAAGCAACCTGAGCAGAACATGAAGGCAGACAATAGCAACCTCAAAGCATATGAAACCATGAACGGCAACGAACAAAGAACATGGCCAGCCAGCAACAAGAGAAACAGGAAGGGTCGAATAATCAATTCACAATGATCAACAACAATCAATTGAATGTCAAACAATCGAACGAGCGACGAGTGGCGAATCATGAAAATGTTGAATGACATTCATGTCACCCACCAACCCGCACATGCGACTCGGCCGAACAAGTGACACGGGCAAGTGTCAATGGGGGATGGGGATAGTGAATCAGCATCAAAGACTCAATTCACGCCCGTGCACAGCCATGCGCATGGTGGGGTGGAGAATGAGTATGGTGGGGTGGGTGGGAATGTGGATATGGGTCATGCATGGGATGGGTAGGGGTGGCAAGGGGGCAGTGAGTGGCAAGTGGAGTGAGTGGTGGTGGGTGGGAAGCAGTGAAGTGGGGCTAGGCTTGATGAAGCATCAGCTAGGGTTGACGAGGCATCAGCTAGGGTTAGGGTTAGGGTTAGGGTTAGGGTTAGGGTTAGGGTTAGGGTTAGGGTTAGGGTTAGGGTTAGGGTTAGGGTTAGGGTTAGGGTTAGGTAGGTAGGTAGGTAGGTAGGTAGGTAGGTAGGTAGGTAGGTTTAGGGTTAGGGTTAGGGTTAGGGTTAGGGTTAGGGTTAGGGTTAGGG